AGCATCCACTCGAGCCCACCTTGGAGTCCGTTCTCCTGCTGGTGTATGAACAAGAGGCCTCGCTTTGTAAATGTGACATCGTCTATAATCTAATCCAGCTTGATAGTGAAACACTGTTCCTGGTCTAGCATCCAAAGAAGGTCCTGCTATAAGGAATCTTCTGCATCCATGATAATGCCGCGGACCATCTGTCGAAATTAGTGAAGTACAATAGGCTTACCCCTGAAATAGAAGATCTTCTTATCTGCTGACCAAAATGCGCTTCCTGAGTTTCTACTGTTGAGTGCAATGTACTTTCCGTATGCCAGCAGACTCAACATCTCACTTATTAGGCTGTATAATCCATCAGCTAGAAACTCTCATCGTTTCTGGATGAAACCTGCTCGATCTTCATCTCCCTGCTGTTGTCTTTCCGCAGATAGAAGAAGTGACTCTATAGCTATCACTCTTGTACAATAGACCATGCTAGCAAGCATGTAAGAGTAGTTCTTCGCTGTCTGTAACCGGTTTATTTTAGTATCAATCCTAAGCACAGCTATATAGTGGATCAGCCCACTACTGAACAGATTATCGCCTGTATTTTGAAATATGAAGGAGTCAAGAAGGCGCAACAGCAATGTCACATGTGCTTTCTCGTTGCTCTCCTCCAGGCCTGCCCACAATTCCCTTGCTAGATCTTTCTGTCTCCCTTGCCATGGGAACAACTCGCGGGCGTCTTCAAATAGATCAGGTTTACGCTCTTCCTCTTGACCGTCTTTGCTATTCTTATCGCTATCATCATCATCATTAGGGTCCTCAGACTCGTCAGAATCATCAGAATCAGATAAAGCTGCAAGGTACACTTCTTCATTCTCGACCAAGCGCAGGACATAGTATACAAACATAACAATGTAACTCATATAGCGAGCCTGACTCTCCGGGTTCTGCAGTCTTGCCATAGGTCTTTGATCAACTTCCTCTCGCTTTGCACTCTTCAGCCATCGCCGCGTCTCACGCGATAGTGACGATAAGCCGGCGATTCTCTGTTCTACCAGGAGCTCGACTGCATGTGATGCTCGCTTCAGCTTCCGTTCATCTTTGCCCAGGAGCCGGATTGCATGTGCGAGGTGGATAAGATTGCGCTTCCTGAAATGCGCAGGCCATCCAGTCCGGTTGAACTATCCAGTCCTATCCATCTTTGCAACATCTGCTTCCATAATCTACATCTCTTCTTTATAGTTGGCCTGAGTAGCCTTCCATTCACCCAGCAGTGTATCCACCTCCAATCACTTGTCTTTTGTACTTATATCATCTGGGTTAGAGACGACAAAGTATCGCTGAAGGCCCCCTATATAGAAAAAAGTCTGTACTTTAACACATTTAAAAAACGTGTTAGTCCTCCCCTTCCATAGCATTTGATGTTATTGTTTGCAATACATTTTGAACTTATTATTATTGATTGTGATATAATAGCAGCCCTCTCTTTAACATTGAAACCCGGTTAAAGGTGGCCCAAGAACTCTTAATACCGGCATTCCTGTCGGTGGCAGTTCGACTTCATATGGCTTCTTTATCCAAAGCCCAGTATACTGTGATAATATTTCCTATTGAATATATATAGCGACACCATGCTAATCTCGCAAGTGCACATCAAGATTCTGTACAGCTATAGCGTGCTCTTTGCATATAACTATGTTGTACCTTTCTAGGAAGGTTAGACATTCTTTTGCTGTTTCCACTGTAAGCTGGCTTGTGACTCTTCTCGCTGCTTCTCATCTTCGCGTCCTACTGCTACTATGCTTCGCGTCTCCTTTCTCGTTCTCGTTCTCGTTCTCTGTGGTCTGTGCAACCCAACTGAACTCCATCTCCTTCAGCTCACTTTTCGACCCCGGCCTTCGAAGTTCTACAGATAGCTTTAAAACAATTCAAATGAGATCCAAATAGAAGTGATACTTTAGATCATTGTTTTCAGCTTTGTTTAGTAATTAATTAATGTTATTATACACGATTCCCACTTTCGAATCGCATCCAACGACCCCCCTGATTCAGCCTGGTGACAGCCACATCTAACCGGATTGGTATCATTTCCTCACGAATCGGACCCGATGGGCTGCCTCCTCTCGGCTAGGATGAATCCATCAGGCAAATTGCAGAATATGATTACACGCTCAAACTTTATCTGCACAAAGGAAGAATAGTTTTACCTTTAAGGATAGAAAAAGAATGGATGCTTCAACATCACGAGCCCCCGTTGCAAGGACATGCAAGAGCAGAAGAAGTCTTGGAAAAACTCCGCCAAAACTTCTATTTTCCCAGGATGCGATAGAAGGTTTTCTCTTAGGTGCGAGCTTGCAATCTTTGCAAGAAAGCCAAGTATGAAAGGCATAAACCTTATGGTTTATTGCAACCAAATCCAGCACCAGAGAAATCTTGGCAGGAAGTTTCCATGGATTTTATAGGACCTTTGCCACCTTCGAAGGATGAGAACAACATCAAATTCAAGAACATTTAGTCGTTGTTGACAGACTTACAAAATATGGCATATTTATACCTTTACCATGACAATTTACGGCCTCTTATCTGGCAAAGATATAAAAGAGGTTGGAAGGTTTGGTATACCAGAAAAAATCATCTCGGACCGAGATAAAATTTTCACATCCAACTTTTGGAAGGAATTATGCCACTCGTTACAAATTGTCAATAGCATACCATCCGCAAACAGATGGGCAAATAGAATGACTAAATCAGGTACTTGAACAATATTTACGCATATATATTAATGATAGGCAAAACAATTGGGCACAACTGTTACCGCAAGCAGCACTGGCATATAATGCAACAAAGCAAAGCACAATAGGGATGTCACCCCATTATGCGAATTTTGGAAAGGAACCAAGATTAACAGTTGACACATCAGCACACCTACCAACAGAAGCAACGCTGTTTGCAGAAGAATTGCAATCGCTTCACGCTCAACTACGATCTGACATAGAATTCCTAAATAAGAAAATGATCCTCCAGGCTAATCAAAGAAGGTCTGAGGGACCAGACCTTAAAGAGGGGGATAAAGTTTATCTTTGGCGACGGAATATTTGCACTAAGCGCCAAAGCCCTAAACTTGATTTTTTGAAAATTGGACTGTTTAAGATCAAAAGGAAAAAAGGACCGGTCAATTACGAACTACAACTACTCAAGAGTATGAAAATTTATCCAGTTTTCCATATTTCACTACTTGAGAAAGCGGACCCAGATATACCTTTGGACAAGAGCACTGAACTTGAAGTTGAGGAACAGGAATATGAGGTAGAACGGATTCTGGACCACCGAAAGAGGGGACGTCAGCACATGTATCTTATCAAGTGGAAAGGATACCCCGACGAGGAAAATACTTGGGAGCCTTACAAAAACCTTAATTGTCCACTTGAGCTGCGACGCTTTCATGAGCGGAACCCGACTCATAAAAGGCCACCTGGTCCGTGGGTCCACCGATCCGGTTAAAGGCCGCCATATTCTCAGCCAGTTCCTGGAGCTCTCTAGCGGTCCACCCACCGTTGCGAGATCTCTCCTCTTCCTCCTCCTGCTCAAGTTCCTCTATAAGGCAAATTGCCTTTTCCTTCGCTCTTCTTTCAGCAAATTCAAGAAGTTTGCGATTTCGGTTTATTCGAGAAAGGAGCGCGGCGCTCACTCATTTGAGCTCTTCCAAATCCTTTACTATCACTAATTTGGTACTCTCTCTTATTTCATCTAAAGACTTCTATAAAGACCCAGTACACCTCAAACCCTTACTAGCGTAACAGGAGCACTTCTCACTTTTCAAAGATATTATAATACAAACCAAACTACAGGAAAAGCAGTAGTAACAAGTGGCGCTGGCTGGACTTCCGAAGGAATCAATTTCTAAAGAAAGCCTCTTACGGCGAAGAGACTGAGCTGACGCCATTTTAACTCAAAAGAAAAATCAGGACTACACCCCCTTAAGTAAAGCTTGGGACAAGCTTACTAAGGAGGGGAATGGTGTTACGTGTCGCACTGTGGCACTAGCGATGCTAGGCAGTGCTGAGGACTGCTGTGCGCGGCGTATTAACGAGCTACAGAAGATGATAGATGGATGGAAAACTAGATAATTGAGAGGATAGGAGGTGGTCCTTTTATTGACTATCTGCAATGTGAGAGATCATTGTGGGTTGTGGTTTTTGGTTGTGGTTGTATCTTCTTAAGTGATCTCGCTCAAGCGATGGCTAAATAAGGCGCTAGATTAGTCAGGTGCACGTGACCTGTGACATTACGATGGTAACACGTGACAAGCTAAAAGAACAAGATATGATTGGCTCCGTTGATGTAAGCCAATAGTAAGCGCAGAAGCGCTCATGAATTAGTGCCATGAGCATGCTTACAGCGCTCATGAATTAGTGTCATGAGCGGGGTTTTCCTATATCTATAAAAAAGTGGTCTCTCTCTCTCTTACACAAATTGTAGTTTAACTATCTAGCTTTGCCTAGTAGTTAGTTTGAATGCTTTTCTATACTTGAAGCTCATACTGTTCTAAGTTATAAAATTGAGTACTATCTTATTGTTGTTCCTCCTCAATAAATCTTAGTCTCTTCTCTATCCCTTCGCTCTAGGAAGCTCAACCCTTCTGAAGTAGCTTACATCAGTGAAGCTAGTCGGTATAGGGAAAGTATTCCTAACACTTCTACGCTCGGAAATCGCACCTCACACTGCACCTCACACGCCGTCGCTTATCGGTCTGTCGTGTCAAACTACTCGGAAACAATGGTAAACATGCCTTAATCCGCTCTCTCACCTCCTGGCACGTCCACGGCCGCCTCTCTGATTCCCATTGCTGTGCCTATGCTTCCAACTCGCAATTCGTTCGAATGGAAAATGGTACCATATATGTAAAAATTGTAAATACCATGTATACACCAACACGCGCAAAATAAAACACTGATAACCTTTAACTTATCTTTATATACCTTCTAAATATACAAATATATTGTATCATGACTTGCTGTGCCTCCCTTTCTTCCTATCCTCCCAACATCGCAATCTGCTCTGTGATCCATAAATACTCAAACGCCAAATTACTTCCCTGCAACTGACATTTGTCTTTTCGCTGTCCCAAATATTCTTTAACGGCCTTCTCTGACTCCCTGTCTACGCCATCCTGTGCCAACCGCTCCATCCATGTTGTCCACAATGCCCTGTATGCGTGACGCAATCCAAACACCATTGATGCCATGATGCCATGATGCCATACCATTGACACTGTCCGTTGACCCTTTCATATCTACCCTTCCCATTCTCCCTGTATCGATTGCACATGCTTTGTGGTACTCCACATTTGCTACATGCTGAACAATCCTTGAATCAGATCCGTATTCGCCGTTCCTTCACCTCTAATGCTGCTTCTTTTCCTTCCTGACGCGCGCATCTGGTGACTACATGATCATATAAAACCCCTACCGCATGGCATACAATGCACTTTCCTTTCCACTTCCATAACTGCCTCTCCAATCTCTCCTCTACACCTGCTTCGACCACTCGCTCCTTGGTTCGCCTCATTCGCACTGCTGCCGCTTGCCTCTGCTGCGTACTGAATTGCTCCTCCAACCGTTCTGCCATATCTCCTTTGTCGGATCCTGCTCGCCTACGCTGGGCCTCAACTACTTGTCTATCCTGGCTTCCGGCGTACTCGAACGAAATCTCATGTGGTCGGCATAAATCACATGATTCCTCGTCGAATCTGCATCGACCATGGTCCGCCTCGCCGTCCAAATACGAACTTGGTATCTTCCGCCTGCAACTGCCCTCACCACTGATATACGCTTGTACTAATGAATCGACCTCATCATCATATCCTGTCACCAAAATCGCGTGACTTGCCCTCCCGTCCCGCCCGGCTCTACCGCTTTCCTGCGCATAATCCAACATGTCGCGCGGCTCATCCGCATGAATGATCCATTCAATGTCTGGTATGTCAACACCCATTCCTAATGCGTTGGTTGCGACCATTACTCGCGTCTTTCCTGCACGAAATGCCTCCAATGCTCTTGATCATTGATGATTATTCATATCACCATAAAACGCATCACATTTAAACAATCCTTTGGTGACAATCGTCTTGACACGCGTTTTTGCCTTGCAATACACGATGCCCTTTCCATTCATTCTGCCAACCATTTTCACAATAAATTCATTATGCTCTTCTCTTTTCAAACGGCTTCCCGGTCTCACAACCGAATACCATATTTTCTTTCTTACTGTCGGCATCCTGAATATTTTGACTTCGTCCACTGTCCAACCCATGCGCTTCCACAATAACTCTTCCTTACTGGGCGGCAATGTCGCCGTCAACAAAACCATCTGTGTTTCTACACGGGCTAACTCGCCTAATTCGCGCAACTTCAGACAAAATCTCAACTCCGCGCTCAAAATAACGTGGTACTCATCGATCACAATACGATCCAACCGCCGCATCTGCTTCAACCGGTTAATGAACATGCTGCCTTCATCTCCCAATGCTGCCTCGGGCGTCATGAACACGATACTTGCGGCATCTGGCAGCGACCGGCTGTCCTCCCATACCACACATGATATCGACAACGCATCGCAACACTGCTGCATGTCCTGACGTAACGCGGTTAATGGCACAATGACAATTGTGGTTCCTCCTGGCTCGGCCCATGCTGGCAACATGAACAATACCGACTTGCCTATTCCTGTCGGCATGACTGCGACCACTGGCTTGATTCTTGCCTGAATCGCTTCAATGGCTTGTTCCTGGACACCACAGAACTAACCCTTCTTTTCCTCCAACTTCATCATCCGTGCGAACTGCGATCACATGTTCATCTGTTGTAACCAGGCCCATCATTCATGCTGCGCCGCACTTGCTTCTTCTTCGAATGCATCCCGCTTCCACTTCTAGACTGGGTTCATATCCATTGCGGATGGGAATGCTAAAAACCTATGCCAATCGATGCTGCTCGTGCGGAACTGCTGCCGTCGACTTGCAATGGCACCGTCCATCTCGAACAAACCTCGCGCATACACCATACCTGCGATATGTGACCCATAGCCGGCCTGCAAATCTTCAATGGCATCGCCCTCTCCCTCCTCGCCTGGATTCTCTTCGTCTTTACTGAACGCGGACGAACCTCACATGTACCTCCGGCTTATACCAATGGCGATGTCACGATATGCTTGAATATGCAATCCATAGCCTAACCCCTGGGCCGTCGCGCGTTCCAATGCTTGTCGCATTCGCCCAGATGTCCATTCTCGGCCATTTCCATCGTGGCAAAACAATCGTGACGCCTTTGACTCGGAATTATGGTCCTCCTCAACGCCTTCTTTATATTGCCCACCTATGATAGACTGCAACCAGCGTTCAAATGGCCTCACCAACCACAAATACCACACAACCAACTCGCCTATCTCCCGGGGCAAATACCGATGAATGACCTTGACGTCACCACTCAACGCATAACCTTTGTGATATTTGGTCACAAACACAACCAAACCGTCCTCGATGAACACATTTCGATGTCCGCCTTTCCATATGTTGCTATACCGGATACTCAATATCTCGGTCCCACGCGCGGGCTGCCCTCCCGTGATATGCGCCGCTACTAACAACTTCTCGCGAAACTGCGCAATACTGGCCATATACTTCTCCACTTCAATCGTATTTAACCCGGTCTTGGATCCGATTCGTTAGAACCTTCGTCGAAGCTTGGGTTGCTGTCCAATACTATCGAACAACCATTGCTTACCGTTGACAGGTAACCGTGTGCGCTCATCGTCCAAAAAACTCCACCCAGGTGTTGTATTGGTTGGATCATCTCGAATGGTGTTCCATGGCACATTTGGAATATCCTTTGCTTTCTTACCGCCACAAAACAACAATTCGTTAAACATGATCTGTCGCATCTGCTTAATCAACCCGTGCAACATGCTGCGGAACTGGGCCATATTAAACTGCGCTTTCTTGTATAACAATTCATCACCGTTGCACCACTCGACATGGCCACTCCTGGTCGTATTATAATAGATCTTCAACCCATATGTCCGCAAATCCAACATCCACTGCATTGGGCCTTTAGTTCCGCGGACCATGAATTGGTCCATCATGTCATTCACGATATCCAAACAAGTCCTTACATGGCATGTCTGTGGCCTGCCACGTGGCTCTATGGCTGGACTTGATGGGTTACCTGGGCTGCTCCAACCACATATTGATGAACTGGCCCATCTGAACCGGTTTAGTGATGCCGGCTCATATATAATCAGACTGCTTGACCTGCCATGGCTTCTCAACTGAATACTAGATAACAGGCTTAGGCTTGCTGTATCATTACTGTTTAACCCACTATCCTTATCCAAATCCATTTTTCGTCTGCCTGTGAAATGCTCATTCTCCACTAGGCCTCCCGCCATGTGAACAGCCTTCTGAACCACCATGAACCTGGCGCACTTGATCACAGACAACAAAATAGGTGGGTATGAATCCGGGCCTCGCCATCCTGTTTCACTGACGCCCAAAACGGCCAATGCATATACTAATGCACTTTCATACTCGCTGAACTCAATCTCTATATTCAACAACTCAATACAAAAGTCTAAACATGCTTTTTATATCGCACTCATGCCAGACTTCTCTCCATCATATTGTGCCTCGCCATTAATCACACAGGTCGCTTCTTCGATCATCCAGTTGAACTTCTCGAACTGCTCTGGTGTAAACTTATACGGTGGACTGCGCCAATCGTGTTCTTGCTGGGTCCGCACGAAAAACATCAAGACTTGCTGCTATGGCTGGGCCCTCCTATCGATCGCGTCTGGGTCCCAATATATCTCTAATGGCATGTATCGTGTTTGCTGTTTCTCGGTTTGAACAGCTTCCATACAAACAAACACGCCTGCTCTAGATACTGTCTCCTGGCTGATCTGTGCAACTTCGGTCATCGTTCTCCAAATGACATCTTCGTACGGTTCTGGCTTCTCTAGGTCCTTGCTTGGCGGCGCGGTGGATGCTATCAAATCCTCTGGGCCGTACTTTTTTAAATATTTATGCCACTTTGTCCTTGATAACTATGGGTTGACATCATCTTCCTCGCCATCTTTAATGCTTTCTTTGCCTTTCTGTACCATCTCTTCGTATGTCTTCTCTGCTTCCTTTTGCACGTTCTGCCATGAATCAAATGATGCTGCTTCTTCGTCTTGCGTCTCCTGTTGCGTGACTTGAATGTAATGTGATCCGTGCCGGCTACGAAAAAATCACTGACATTTAATCTTTTTATACGCCTCCTTGAATCGCTGATCCGCAAATTCCTTCTCTGTTTTCGTTAATCGCCGCCCTTGTGCCAACCCTGCTGCCGTCCAACCGCTATGCTGCTCTCGCCAATGTATTTCCAACCTCTTCTTGGTCCTAAATACCTTTTGGCATACTTGTGGCTCTATCGCACATAAAAACCCATCTTGTAATGTTAATTCGGGAATTTGCTGCTCGATGCGATCCGGTAACTGTAATTCTTCCTTACTGGTTACTAACCCTTGCCATAACTGAATCTCTGCTTGAATATCCTGTCTATAGCTCTTCTTGAATTGATGATGCGGGCCACGTAAATGACTTTCTACCTCCCTAGGCCACACCGCGTGCTTGCAATCCTTACATATGATTAACCCATATGCTTGTAACCGCACAAATACTTCTTCGGCATTTGGCTTCATCTTTATAATATATATGCTATTGATTTGGCCTGCAACTGGTTCCTATATGGCTGCTTCGCGTTTAACATGACAACGCGCGCACTTGGCGACGCGTTCGCATACTTTCTTTTTTTCGTTCATGTTCCTGAACGCCACCTCCGCCTTCCGCGCCCTCTGATGTCGACGGCGCACCTTATATCTTACTTTTTGGACTTAATTCATAAATTTGACTCCAATGGTAACCCCATCAATATTAACCCTAATGTATACTTCAGGTCCCTATATCTTATAGCACAATACGATATTTTACTCAAAACTCAAATCACGGGTCTATATAATCACATTCTACAAATAAACAAATTTTAGTATCAATATATTGACGTTATGGGTTATGTACCTGTCCATCGAGCACATAACTTATGTGCCCGAGGGCATTTTGGACAGGGCATTTTGGACAGATCTACTACTGGTCTATATAGTGATTCATTGAGGTCCCTATAGAATCAGCCTAGGTCTCTAGGCTTATCATTGTTTCATATGCACAAGTCCTTCATCCTACAATAGGTTGTTATTAATTAGAAATAATTGAGTAGGATTAGCCAACTCTTATAAGTTAGATAATGAATAAAGTAGAGAATTATTATCTCCTTTTGACACTTTACTATGATAATGACCTATATAATATTTATAGACGCTACTGTACAATATGAATATACTGCGACCCATAACGACTATTGAAAAACCGCTGGCACATAACTTTCTTATGCGCTCCATTAAACCGCTTTTCTGCCTCTTGCTGTTCCCTTACGCTTAGTTTACCCCCTTTTTCTTTTCCACTTACCGTCCATCCTTTATGCTCTCTCCCCCAGTGTTTCCTTAGCCCGTCCTGAGTACGAGCAACTGCTTTGCACTTCTCTTTCTCAAGCGTACACAATAAGCCGTCATACAGCGACAGCTCTGGAATAACCTCTGGAATAGGATTGGGTAGCTCCAGGCTATTAATAGAAGTCACTAGGCCTTTCCACGACATGATCTCTTGCTGTATCCGTTGACGATCAATCTTAGGCATTCGATGGTTGGCGCTGGAAAGATGACTGCCTACTTCTGAGGGCCATACAGCGTATTTACAACCCTTACACACGATTAGACCATACCTTCCCAAGTATGAGAACGTGTCTCTCGCTGACTGAATTTCGCTATTATTGACTGATTTGGTTTGAAGCACTTCGTGCGACTCTGTGACGTGTTGCATATGCTTACGCCTCGCTTTTCGCGCCTGTATCCATCTCGCCCAAGCGCTGCCTTTGTCATCACTGCCTGTGTTCTCTTGGTTGATTAACGATACCTGAACCATATTAGACAGATATATCGGCACTGGCGATAACGATAAATCCCCGCTATCATTTCTGTTTAACACTCCAGGTTCTAGTGTATCTGATTGGCATAGATCTACTACCACTTGCGATAGTCCAGAACTGTGCCGCCTTTTGGCTTCCCTTTCTTCCTGTACAGGTGGCGTGCGTCGTTTATCACCCAGTCTTTCTATGCTCACAGATTCATGTCTCGACTCCGGTGATGATGAAGCAATATTGTCGCTTCTCATGAATCCCTGCCACTCGCAAGAGGCCCACTTATAGATTCTGAGAAGCGCCGGCTGAAGGGAGTCTGGAAATGCCCCATCAATACCGTAGGTCGTCCCTCTTTGAAGTGGCCGGTGTCCACTTTGCCACGAGAACGCCACTTCGATGTCTGCCGATACGCTCTTATCATCATATCTGTTGAAAGGCTTGCTAATCTGTTTGATATACTTCTCAGTGACTGCAATTGAGAGCTGACGATAAACTTGCACTCTGAATGATGTGCCACATATAGCCTTCGAGAGTGTTTTCAATGCATTTGTAAGTACTCCAACTTTCCAGGGCTTTTCTGGATGTTCAGGCGACACAAAGAGCAGACAATGTTCATGCTGATATTGAAGGCACACACGACATAATATATCTGTGAATGGACGCACATAGATGAGATACGTGGCCAGAATCTTTGAAGCATCAGGGGTGAGATACCATGCGACATTGAACTCCTTATTAGTGGCTTGTCGCGCTTTCCAGTGTTGGATAATATAGACCACCACGCCATCGTGGACACATGTTCCGCGTGAAGTGCTCTCACCGTTACGATGCTCGATGCTGAAGAGATCTGGGCTCCGGGGTGCTTGGCCACCAAGCAAATACATCACGAGCATCATCTGAATAAGAAATTCGACTTCCTCCTGCAGGTAACGGCGAACAGCAGCCATGTTCCACTGATCACCCTTTATTAACCCATTGATCAGATCAAGGCAAGCGCGAGATGAGAGGTCGAGGTAGGCTGTGTTAAGTTTGTTCGCGGGCTCCTGGACGAAAGAATAGCCTTTCTTCTGGTTAGAGATCATGTCACGGATGCCTTTCAAGTGGATATCAGGTACCCACCCATACATCAACCGGGTTAAGGAGACTGAGGCGCTGTTAGTAGACTTACGCCCAAACTGCCGCAGCTGATCCATTGTAAGACTCCCGACATCTTTTCCTGCATCCCAGCATACCGTCTGTGAGTCATCACTCCACTGGACGCGAAAAGTAGGACCATCCGAACGAGAAATAGCTCGGCCATATGAACGTAAGCTAAGAAGCTCGCCCATTAGCGCTTGACAACCCAAACACATGAACCGCTCCCTGACTGGATTGAAGCGACTGAGCAAACCGGTGTGCGGTCTCGCCTGCCAGCCAATCAAGGGATGTGCATATCGAGGAATTGTTGCCTCGAGAAGACACAAGCAGATACAGTATATCAGCGCTGACAGTTTGGGTGTGTAATTCTGTGGCCGCTTGAAAGTGCTTCCAGGGTATGGAAAGCTTATCAAGCCGCTGAAGGAAACAATGAATGTAGAGCTGGCACGGCTGTCTAAAAACTCCTCCGTGCAGAGAAAGGCGGAGAGCTTCCCGACCGCATCGGCAAGTTTGTCGTCTGATGGACTTTCAACTGACTGGACGATTGTCTCGCAGGTTTCCTGGAACATCTCGTCTGCTACACTATCTTCACTATCGTTTTCTTCAAAGCCGTCAAAATCCGAATCTAAATGTGCATCATCTGACCATTCAGCCTTGCTTTCCTGCTCGGTCTCATCATGCAGCGAATAAAGTTGGGATGTTATAGGAGGCAGTTTAATGTTGGGATGGCTCGGTTGTTGTAAATATGATACAGCCATACCAGAAGCTGTGCGAGTTGATCGGACCAAGGGTGCAGCTGCATGAATGGGGCTAGGAACGCCAGTATCTTGCTTGTTCTCTTGTTCTAGTATTGCTGCCTAGAGGGATTCAGCTGCTTCTTGCTGCTGCCTTGAAAGTCGTATCCCAAGGAACTCCTCTCGCGCAGCATCGTCAAGGCGGAATAGCCGCAAAAACACGACCAATATCCTCTTCTATAGATTGCAATAGGATATTTGGCATCCAATTAGTTGTAAGAGCCAGATCATCTAGAGCCACGTTTGCAGTGGGTATATCTTGTTCTTTCTGGGCGATTCTTCGTAGCTCTTCTTTATAGAGGGCAGCAACTTTATCGCGATGGCACGGCGACACTTGTGAGGCATCATTATTACCACTGTCTGATGAGGGTAGATACCCATCATCTTCAACGATCCAGCTTTCTCTTGATCCATTCTGAGTCCAGCTTTGAAGAGTTACGTAGTTTTGCATGCTGTCACTAAGCAGGCTCTTCTGGCCACTCTTGCAGTTGTGTTTTTTAGCCAGGTAACGCTGCAACAGTTCGCGGCTCGTCGTGCGCTCCCTGCAACCCTTACATGCCAAACCACGCTTCTTAGCGAGCTGAGGATGCGCTAGACTGCCATCGTTGCGTGAAGGAAGCTTATTTGGGTCCTTTAGTTGGAGCGAAGCTACAAGTGCGGTTAAGCCTTAATGAGCTTTGGCAGACACTTGGTGTTTCTCCCATAAATGTCTGGAAACTCGATCTCCCAATGGTTGGAGGGCATATTTGCATCGTTTACAGATAATAGCAAGCTCAGGTCGATTAAGGCAGAGGTCCAGACTCTCAAGTACAGCGTCCAAATCACTCGCCACTGTAGTGCTCCACTCTTAGACAACAGGCACCATTGCGTCACAAATTGAATATTATAAATGGCATTAAGAACAAATTGTCAGGAGCAAGTCAAAGAAACGGCGAAGACAGAAAGCCACTGATTTAGGGGTAACGCGACGCGTTCCTGAGACGCCACATTGCTGTCGCTAGTTTAGGGTTAGGAAACCGTTACGCATTCCAGACGCCACGAAACGCGACGCGTTCCAAGATCCTACAACAGCACCATATGGGCGAAATTTGGGAACGCGACGCAGTTCACAAATGTCACATGCCACGATTTGGGTGAAATTATGGAACGTGACGCGCTCCAAGAAACAATCCTAGAGTAGCGGCAACCCTATTGATGACATGACCTCACTCATGTCTTGCATAAATGCAACTCTATTGCAACCCTAAATGGCCCCAACTGCTCGAATCAACACACCCGCATACTGACATTTCTTACCATTCCGCCTTTTCCATCGACCATTCTTGTCATTCTTCTCCCACTGATTACAAACCCCCTGCCAAACACCACACTCGTAACAACCGCTGTATGGCTGGTACTTGATTCGCTTCCGCACCTGTTCCACATAATCAAACAACTCCCTTCCCACATCATATGTGCAACCATCTGCCATATGGCCATCCCCTTTACGGCCCATGGCCAAACATAATACATATCGGTGGCCCCATTCTCACATCAACCGCCTCAATTTGTCTACTTCCTCCATCTCATCCCTTCGTGACTCTCTATCAATTGCCTCAATCACCCTTCTTTGCTGCATTTCGCGCTGGAATTCAAATCTTAATGATGGCGACACGCCTGCATCCATGACCTCTAACTCGCCACCCGTGCGAACCTGGGCCAACTCTTTGATGTCATCCGCTCCACCACAAATATCACACGCCTGCTCGCCTTCTTCGCATGGACCCCGCTCTATTCCATCCATGAACTCGCTCAAAACCATCCTTCTGCAACGCCCACTCCATACATACTGCCTCAATCCATCATCCATCCAATTGCTCCGTGCTTTTATCTTTGCTGTATTCAATATGATCGCCTCGCTTTTTGCCCTATCCCTTCCCGCTCGCCCGCTTTCTTGACTGTAATCTCGTAATCGCCGCACTTGACCCACATGTATGACAACTCGTATCGTTGGTGCGTCAACACCTAATCCTAATGCATTTATTGCTGTGAAAACTTGCTGACCGTCCTCTCCTTTCAATTGATGTAACACCGCGCTCTTATACTCCTTATTACCCGCGTTTCTATGGAAAACCGCCGCTCCCAATTCACTTGCCAACGCCTCTGTCTGATCAACAGTGCCACAATACACTATAATTTTGCCTCGCTTGCCATACTGCTTCTTCTTTCGCTCCACTAATCCGGACAACACCTGTGTCTCCTCCTCTCTCGTGCAACATTTGACCTGGTATGTCACATTCTTTCGCTCTGTCGGTGCTCTGAACCACTGTATCTTCTCTTTTATGGGTAATCCCATGCACCTAATGAATTCGCGCTCCTCGCTGGGCATTAACGTCGCTGTTAAATATACCAACTGCGTCTGCAATCGCACTAATTGTCTCAATTCCAAAATCTCGGTGCGCCAACCTCCACGCGAATCCAACACGACGTGACACTCGTCGACCACGACTCTATCCAAACGACCATACGCCTGCTGTCTGTTCACGAACTGTCCGAATGCTTCGCCGACCGCCGCTTCTGGTGTTACCAACACCAACTGCGCCCATTCGTGCGGCCTCCGAACATCCCACTCAACATACTCGTAGCATAATACAGAGTGAGATATGATACTACAGCGGGCCGGATGCCATTGTACGTCCTTTCACACATCAGGTATGGAGTGGATAGCCATGTTTTGATTCTCCAACGCGCTAAACCGCTCAGGGTCGTGATGGTTTTCTAGTAACAACTTCTGGACCTCCTTTAACTCGAGTATACCTGCCCATTTCTAAGACATTCAGCTAACTAACTCGGAGCAGGAACAAATTGAAGACTTAAGAGAAGAATCTCATGCATACGAAACACGCCAGGCTGGCGGTAGTGACGATTGTTTTATCAACAAGCCGGTAGCGGTTGGCCTTCGGTCACTGAGAAACAGTCGTTGAGGAAATTTGGTCTCAGCTGTAATAGCATTATTCGTTCAGCATAGAATTTTCCGTATTTATAGATACTTGGTGGTGAAGAGAAAACCATGCTTGACTTTACGGGAGCCACCTATCAATTCTGCATTCTAAATGTGCCCAGGGCTCGCCATAATGGATTTCTTCAGATTCCCACCAATTGCCAATCAATCCATTCGTCTACACTGTAGATCACCCTGAAATCATTCTGGCGTAAGCCAAATGTGTAAGAGGTGATAGCATGCAGCAGAAATGGGAAAGATTCATAAGATGACTCCCCTTCAGGCTGTGGCCAACGGTAAAGAATCAAGTCAGGAGTTCCAGTGCAGCCCCAAGCGAGAATTTCAGAGAAAAAGTCTGCGAGGTGTACAAGTGGAAGAAACAGCACCTCAATCAATTCTATTGCGCCCAGCATCCCAGGAAATTCCCTTCATGTTGAATACTTGACGCAATACCCCGCTTCATTCGCTGCCAGGACTGTCACCCAGACATTAGAAGCAATCACATCTATTCTGAGTATTCAGAGGAGTCTACCCGAGTTAGCGACGCGTTGTCAAATGTGTTTTATAAATCCCGATGGGACAAGATGTAACCATTCCCCACATTCGGCTACGACGAAGTCAATAGTCTGACCGAAGCATCTCTCCCCGAACCAAACTTACTTTTTGCATATTCAAGTTTGAATTGGCATTAATGCTGAGTGCTAGTTCGAAAGATTGTATGAACCATTAAATAGATTAAACCCTTTCCAACCTTAAACTTCTTCTATGTCCCCCATACAAGAGTAGTAAAGCGCCAAAAGGAAGGTGAGTAACAGGTCTGTATTTCTTCTCGATCAACACCCACACATATAGTTTAATTAATGCGTAAGCCACCAGTCACATTTTCATTCACGCGGCCGAGACCTGAGTTCTGGCCCTGGTCTTTGTCTCCATTGTAAAATGAATGCAGAAAGCCTACACACACCTGCCCAAAGCCCAACCCATAGATTAGTAGTCAAAGAACTCATGCATGCATACGGGAAAGTTTAAAAGGAAAAAGAAAAAAAGGGCTGATGGTGAGGCTTCACAGCTTCAAGTTTATGCTTTGATAATCAAACCTTGATCCCATAATTCCCACATTCCTTAATTCGCACCGGACCATGGTGGCTAGGGTGCCCACGGTAGCAGTATATACCGTACCGTACCGTTCGGTATGGTATATGGTACAGTAAACGGGACGGTATCACTATACCAGATACCATACCGAAAAAAACGGTATATACCATACCATACCGGAGGAAAAACGGTATACCGTTTCTGGTAGTCGTTCTGGTAGTCTTGGTGTCAGAACTCATTATCACAGGATTACCCTTATAACATATTATAGGCACCATTCTGTTGCCTTACCTGAACCCAAATATCAGCCAGCACTAGCTAACATAACCTGATAAAAGCTAATACAACCCAGTGTTAGCTTTCATCAGGTTATATTGGCTAGTACTGGCTGATATGTTAGGAACACTTTCCCAGTACCGACTAGCTTCACTGATGTAAGCTACTTCGGAAGGGTTGAGCTTCCTAGAGCATGATTGGATCTACCAACTTGCGTATTACCACCCCCCTAGTGCAACAGGAGGAGAGTATAAATGCAGGCACAAAGTAAAAGTTCACGAGATACATGGATGTGAAAGAGGCGACCAACTGGATCACCAGAGCCCTACAAAAGCATGAGACCATGAAGGAAACAGAGATAGCAGGAGTGGGCGTAACAAAGTTTGGCTATGTTATACGCTTTAAAAATGAGAAATCAAAGGAGATAGCCTCGAAACATGATAAATAGTTGGCAGACCTCCATCCAGAGACAAAGATTGATAGACCCTGATATGGCATTGTGGTCTATCGCACCCCAACCGAACAGGTCCAACTAGATGACAAGACAGAGGCGGCAACTAAGCTCCTAGAAGAGAACGACCTCACCTCAAAAGGCTACCATATCACGGATGTAGCCTGGCTTAAACACAAAGACGTACCCCTTGGAAAGCATGCCTCGCTGGGAATATGGTTTAATAGCCCTGGTGCGGTTGAGTAGGCAGTGCGCAATAGAGTTCTCTTTGGCAAGCAGTATATTGGCAGCGTCGAGCCATACGAGCTAAGAAGGAAGAGATGTCACCGGTGTGCAAGAATTGGACACCTAGCTTGGAATTGTAAAGAACAAAGATGTGCACACTGCATGGAAGACCATGACAACAGCGAATGCCCAGAGGGAACTCAACCTCGATATGCAGACTGTAACTAAGGACATCATATAGAAGCAGCTGAATGCACCAATCGGGCCACAAGATTTCCACATTTCCAATAATGACCACCCTAGAAATATTACAATTGAACACTATGCGCTCCAGAGCATGTATAGAAGCCCTAATTAACGACACACAGTCAGCGAAGCTTGACATACTCCTAATCCAAGAACCCTCAGTCTCATACTACAAAGCACACACATAACACTGATGTTGGCAGCTATACCAACCAACCTCAGACAGAGAAGGACGGTGCCGCAGCCTCATATACGTCAAGCAACGACTTGCACCTCCGGCACATCGACAACTCCGGTGCAACAACCTTGATATAACTGGAATATTGATTAGCACACTAGCAGGGCCAGTCATGGTCTCCTCAGTCTACGTTCCGCCTATTAGGAGCACCCGCGAAGTAGCAGAGGGTGAAATACAAGCCATCCTAGAGGCTATCAACAGCACTATTGCGCAGAACTCTCCTGCCAAAGAAGATGCTTATAAGCTAATAATAGGTGGAGACTTTAATCCGCAAGATCCACTATAGAGAGGTGATAACATTCAGCCATATAGAGTAGGAGAAGCAGCCAGCCTCCTCAGTTTCATGGAGGAACACAGCCTATACCACCAACTACGACGAGGCGAACCAACGTGCTGGACTGTGACTCGGCCAGGGAGCAGAACCACACTTGACCTGACTTTAAGCAATATATCAGGCCAACTCAGAAAGTGCCACTTATACTATGAAAACTACGGATCTGACCACTGCGGCATTATTTCAGAATGGAATTTCCCTGTGCAGCAGAGAGAGGAAAAACCACCACGCTGTATGTATGAGCAGACAGACTGGGACAGCATTGGCGACCTAATAACGTGACGTATTAGAAGCTACGCCAACATCGACACAAACAAACAGTTGGATGAGCTAGTGGGACACTTTACAAGGATAACAGCTGATGCAGTTGAAAAGCAAACCCCGCTAGCCAACCCATGCCCATATTCCAAGCATTAGTTCACCTCAGATCTGAAAGAGAAGCAACGACAGTACAATAAAGCACGGCGAAAGTGGCAAACATCCATAGCCAGACTAAGCCGCGAGCACCATGTCACATAAGAACTGTTTATATTAATGTAAGGTCGCAGGAAGGAATGGGCGAAGGCCATTGAACGAGCTAAATCCACATATTAGAAAGACTTCCACGACCGAGCTGCAGACGGGAACATTCTATGGAAGGCCGCGAAATATGCGGAACCAGGCACCAAATATGCAAACATTCCACCACTGCGCGATGGGGAGCAGCAAGCGATGGAAAGTGAAGACAAGGCCAAGCTCTTCATGGAATCATTCTTGCCACCTGCACCTATGCACCCTATACATCAGACGGAGCAAAGAAAGTGGGGATGGAAGCCAGATCATCATACACAATGTGTATAACCCACCGCAATGCTCGGAAGGACGCGAGAGCGCGCTTCCAAAGGTACAGGAAGTCTGCCAGGAGAACAGTGCGGAAGAGCAGATAGCGCTAGGCGACTTCAACCTCCATCACCCAGTATGGGGTGGAGAAAGGGTAGACAAACACGAGGAGGAAGCAGAGGAGCTGCTGGACGTTATATAGAGCATAGGTATGATGAGCACACTCCGCCAAGGAGCGATCACATACGAAGAGTGAGAAAAGAGGACGACGATCGACCTCTGCTGGATGTCTGCAGGATTAGCAGATTAGATAATCCGGTGCGAAGTAGATAGAGATATAGAGCATGACTCTGATCACCTACCGATCAGTATAGTCATGGACCTGAGAGTCCAACACGGAGAGAGGAAACCCGTGAGGCGATGGAAGCATCTCAAGGAAGAGAGGTTTTGGAAGGCACTCGCACAGACACTACCTCAGGTACAGCGGCTGAGAACCAAGAGGGCACTGGATTGATACACTAAGGAGATTGCAAGCGTGATCGACAGGGCGGCAAACAAAGTCCTCCCCAAAACATGCCCCTCACCACGGGTAAAAGAGGGATAGAACACAGAATGCAAATGAGTACTGACCAAAGTAAAACAACTTAAGTGGTTCTATAGCATGGACCGCATAGCGGAGTCATGGGAAACGTACAAAGCTGCACGGAACTTGAAGACCAAGATAGTCAAGAAGGCTCTAAAGGCAGCACACAGAGACAGGGTAGAGATGGCAGCGGCTACTCCTGAGTCTCTTTGGAAGGTAGCAAAGTGGGCCAGGACAAGGGAGAACCAACCTCTAAGCGTCATACTAGCGATTCGATGTCCTAATATAGGATAGGAAGTAACAGACACTGAGGAGAAGGCATGGATTTTCTGAGAAGTCTTCTTCCCAGCGCCTCCGAGGGCCGATCTCGACGACATCCAGAATGCACAGTACAACCAGCAGATAAACCTACCAGAGATCACAGAGAAGGAGGTTCTGGAGGCTGTAACGGCCAACGCCCTGCTAAAGGCGGCAGGCCCAGACAGGATAGCAAATAAGGCGCTGAAGGCAGGAGCTGAGCTACTAGTAAAACACCTTGCCAACATCTTTAACCAGAGCCTCAGACTAGGCTACTGCCCGGAACACTTTAGGATATCCACCACAGTAGTGCTTAGAAAGCCAGGCAAAGGGAACTACGCAGTGCCGAAGGCATACAGGCCTATAGCATTACTCAATATAATAGGAAAGGTAATAGACACTATAATTACCCGGAGACTGAGCTACTTGGTAGAGGCCTACTAAATGATACCGCCCTGACATATGGGCGGGAGATGGCTGCGGTCAACGGACCACGCCCTCCACTCTATTATGGAGAAGATATACGAAGCATGGAACAAAGGAGAAGTTGCCAGCCTATTGCTCCTGGACGTGTCTGGAGCATTCGATAACATCTCTCATAAAAGGCTCCTACATATACTTAGGAAAAGACGAGTTGACGAACGGATTGTCGCCTGGATTGCCAGCCTCCTTGCAGACAGGCATATATGGATCATGATAGACAATTTCGAGTTAGAGGAGTACGCGATACAAACTGGAATACCTTAGGGATCACCACTCTCACCTATCCTATATATCCTATATAATTCAGACCTAATAGATAACTGCAACACAGAAGTAACCACTATAGGATACATCGATGATACAGCAATACTTACCTGCAGGCCCACTATGGCAGGGACCACTCTGAAGCTGGAACGGGCAATGCAGAGGGCGCAATACTGGTCTGTAATCCATGCATCAAAGTTCGCTCCGGAGAAGTTCCAACTGGTTTATTTCTCAAGGGCCAGGAAACCCGATATGAAACAGCCCCTGAAGACGGCATTGGGCATCATCACTCCCACAAGGACATGCAAATATCTAGGCGTCACTATAGACAGCAAGCTTGAATGGAAGGAGCACATCGCGGAGATCGAGCGCAAGACAGCCAAGACAGTGCATGCCATTGGGGCCCTTGGCAGCTCGACATAGGGCATAGACCTCAGGAACATGCAGAAAATCTACCGCGGGGTCGCGATCCCACAGATGATGTACGCCAGCTTGCTATGGTCGAACTCCAGCCGCAACGACAGACCGTACACAGGACAGACACTGAACAGACTAGAGGCCATTCAAGCCTGAGGGGCCCGCGCTGTGAGTAGGGCATATAAGGCAACCTTACAGCCAGCACTGAACGTCGAAACGCACCCACTACCCATTAAGCAACAAATATGGAAGCACAACCTAGAGGCGCTAGGACGGCTGCAATCTAGCTCAGGAATCTCGGAGCTGCTAGACCACTCAGAGCAACAACAGGGTCACTGGAGAGCCAAATACAGTAGCCCACTGCAGAAAATACGGGCCAAAGCATGGAGGATCAAGGAGCTGAGCATGGAGTTGCCAGAGACAATCCCACTATTTATCATGCTACCATGGCAGGCAGGACCAACTATATATATAGACACCAGCGATGAAGCAGCACGGGCCAGGTATAATAAGATGCTTGGAAAGGGGGCCCTTTATATCTATACAGACGGTAGCAGCATCAAAGGCCATGTCAGAGCCGCAGCAGTCCGTCCTACAGCGAGGACCACACGGAAAGCGTACATAGGCACTGATAAGACCTCTACTGTATATGTAGCAGAGTTACAAGGAATCAAGATGGCACTGGAAATCGCGCTGGAACATACAAAAGAGAGCACTCAAAAGCAAAGAGTTGCTATCTTCACAGACAACCAGGCCGCGATCCGCACGCTGACCAGGCCCAAAGGCAGGTCAGGCGCGTATATAGCTAAGCAAATCGCCCAGTATATCAAACAGCTACAGAACGATAGTCATAAAGTAGAGGTACAATGGATCCCGGCCCATAAAGGTATCCATAGGAATGAGGACGCGGATCGAGCTGCCAAGGAGGCCACTGGATGAAGGGAAGGGGAGGGTGCCAGGGGCGACAAAGCAGACCCGCCTGCAGAGCTATATGCTCTTAAGGCAACACTAAAGATGTGGACAGTAAAGAAAGCAGCCACAATGTGGCAGAGGGAGTGGGCACAGGATAGTAAGGGTAGGGCGACATACCGCCACAACCCGACGCCTTCCAAACGCACTCTGAAGCTACACAAGGACCTAAGCAAAAGACAGAGCGCTCTCCTGGTACAGATGAGGACCAAGAAGATCGGTCTCCGTCACTTCCTGGCCAGCTGGAGAGTACCAGGATACCAGGACGCGACCTGCCGGGGGTGCCACCAAGGCCCGCAAACTGTTATGCACGTCCTGCTGCAGTGCAAGTTGCTCAAGGATAAGAGGAAACAGCATTTCGAAGGGCAACTAGGAAGGAACAACCTTAGGACTATCTTAAGCAGGTGTAGTTTAGCTATTGAAGCTATCGGACTTATGGAACATGCCCTCAGGGCAGAGGGTGAACAGAGAGGCGTAACAGATAATGCGGAGTATTGAGGGGATTGAGGTACGCAGGATGCAACACAGAGGCCTTAAGCCTCCAGGAGCCGAATACTAGAGCAAGTATTAGTAGATTAGCCAGCATGATACAGGCGGCGACAACCGGCTGTAGATAGTGGTGATGGAAAACAGATGAGGAGCGTAAGGGTTGGCTGGTCTTGTTTCCACAACAAGGTGAAGTGGGGCGTGTTGGGCCTAGCCCGATGCGTGTCGGCCGATTACCAAGCGTCATGTGGTCCAAAATCCACCAACTTCTCAACAAGTGCTGGTAGACTGAGGCCACAGAAAAAAAAAAGACCACAACAGCGAGAACGTGAACTCTTGGTATCTAGTAGTGCTAACTGAGCATACACACTCCTCTACCTAGTAGTTAGACGAATTGACAGGCCTGACGCGGCGCCCAACGCCTTAATTCCTCATTTAACTGAGCAAGGATTGCTTCAGATTGCTTCCTCTCTTGCGCTGTTTCAGGTAACCAGATATGACATGGCCCTTTCTTATCATAGGTGAATCAACTCCAGAACATGAACTCTGAATAGCCCTTCCAGCGCTCACGGATACAAGACCGTTGAAAGGCTTCATCTACTGTACGCCATATATGATAGCCACCCCGACGTATACCAAGGACAACTGATGTTTCATCAGACCAGATCACATTTTTCCAATCCTCAAGTGTCCAGTGTCGATGCTCAAGACACCAAGCTAGTCTCTCCTCCTTCATCCTCGTCGTCAGTCTAGGCTTCCTCGTTGGTTTCGTCTTTCTGTAGCCAAGGCTGCGAAGGCACCGATGGATTGTTGAGGGTGAGATATTGAAACTGAGCAATTGGCTAAGATCAGCCGCAAGATCAGTACAAGTTTTCTCTCTCTTGCATAGCGATCAAGGCATACTTTTGAAATCAAAGCCTCTTTCATTTGAACTGATTGCTTGCTTGGCCGTCTAGATCGAGGGGCATCTTCCAGATATTCATCCGTAATGACAAGTGGTACAGCATTAGGATCAAATCCTCGTTGAATGGCTCGAGCATAGATAGAGTCAATCGTACGCCTTGATAGGCCGGTAGCAGAAGCTACCTGAGCAGTTGTCTTGCCACCAACTGGTGACTTTAAAGTTACCACTAAGGCTCGAGTTGAGATATCATGCATAATGATGAGAAATTTAATGTTAACACTCTTCTTAACAAATAAACTATAAGGATAGAGGAGCATGAAAATTTGAGCATCTCTTGCCAAGATTGGTGGCGCTGATGGCGTTTTTAGCGTTGGCAAAAACTTCTGACAGGCACCTCCGTATATGAAAGTTATCTGGATCAAAAACCTGGTAAAGCTTCGCATTTTTGTCTTGACAGGTACCCTGTTGCTTGAAACCAACACACTTTTAGAGTCGTTTTGCATAGTAACCGCGAGGCGACCGTTGGTGCACGGTTGACGCAGGCCCAAGCCATGTCCTATACAATCCACCAGGCTGGCTGAGATTTGCTTGCAACTTCGGGATACCAGTCGATGCGCTCCAGCGCTACAGCCACCGGGTTGCCTGCTCGGAGTGCGAACCAGGTGCATTGCAACCTAATGGCGGGACGGTGCGCGGACAGCGTTGAGGCCGCAGTTCTCCCTGTTATTTACTTGGGCAGTTTTTTCTCTCTTTGTGCTTTTCTCTGCCTTCCTAGACAAATCCTCAAAGCCATTCCTTTTTAAATTCCAAGCAGACTCAACACACAACCAACTCCAGCTACCTCGCGAATTCATTAACCAGACAGCTCTGGCAAACCTCCCACCACTGCCGGTTTATTACGCATCACCGACGCCCGTTGGCCTGAGATGCTGTTGAAGCCAGACAGCAGGCCAATCTCCCAAGCGCAGTTGGCTGCGGAAGTTAAGTCGATATATACTGGGCTCACTATGATTGAGTCCAAGTGTATCCACGCGGATGGAGCGATGCGTGATGGCAAATATAGGATCAGCAATGACCACTGGAAGGTTCTCAATGCCCTTCATCGTACTTTGCTCCACGAATACCACGACTTCTTCTTGGCATCCCAACATCCCACAGCCTCGTGGGCATTACGCAGACTCGCTTCAAAGTATTCCATGCCAGCTCGTATGTGGAAACATGGCATCCATTCCTTTCTTGAACTCCTCAGGTACCAACTGCCTAATTCGCTGGAGTTCATGATGAACTTCATCTATACAGCATACCAGATGATGAGTCTTTTATACGAGACAGTGCCGGCATTCAAGAATACATGGATTGAATGCCTTGGTAACTTGGGCAGCTATCGTATGGCTATTGATAATGGAAATGTAAGAGACCATGAAAATTGGGCTAGTGTGTCGCGCTTCTGGTACACAAAGGCAGCAGACAGGTCTCCCGAGGTTGGTCGTCTGTACCATCATCTGGCGATTCTCGCTCGACCAAACGCACTGCAGCAACTGTTCCTCTACTCGCGGTCACTGATCTCTGTGCAAATTTTCACCACCGCGAGGGAGACTATCCTAACACTGTTCAACCCCATACTTGGACGGTCAGATGCAGCGTCGAGCCACATGTCCCAATTAGACACTATTTTCATTAAAGCTAGTGCCATCCTCTTCACTAAGGAGCATCTGGACGACTTTAAACGCTTTCATGACGGCTTTACCGAGCTTCTTGATCAGCATATCAGCCGCGTGACAGCTGAGTGGCGAGAGCAAGGAGTTTGGGTCATCATATCCCTCCTTGGCGCCCTCTTCGACTATGGAAATGATTCTCCGTTACGGCGCGTCTTTGAACTTGGATTTCATCTGCTTGCACAGCAACCTCGTGATAAGTCGCAAGCGGATCAGTCAGCTACTTTTGATCCACAACAGGCTCAATCTGATGGAGATACTGTCATGGAAAACCTTAATGTGCCGACGACTGTCGACTCGGAGTCTAAAATTGCTTTCAAACATGCACTCAAGTTCTATACTACTGTCGTAACCTCGGTGCTGCGACGACTGGGTGATGAGAACGTGCTCCCATTTGTGCATATTCTCCTCGTATTCTTGCTCTCTCTCATCCAAGTGAAGTCTCTCGACTCTCGAATCGAATCAGCGTATATCGTCAAGACCATACTTGCTAGAGTTCCTCTAGGAGAGCTCTGCTCATTCCTCAATACATTAGCCCGCTCTAATTCCGCAGATGCCCGGTATGAAACTGAGACATTTGTTCGATCGGAGAGGAAAGATTCGATACCGCTACCAGAAGATCATCTCATCCGGGGACAGGTGTGGGCGCAACACTACTTCCCTGCAGATTTGTTCAAGAGCGGCGAATGGGACGACGAGGAAGGAAAAATTGAGCATGCATCTACAGTGATAATGCGCGCCAACCGCGTACTGAATCTAGGTTTTAGACTGGCACAGGTAAATACTCTTAGACGGCTTATGGGCACTAATAACTAATGAGAAAGCTGCATAAATTCGGAATCCAATATGATGTCAGAACAAAGACATTTAATCTGATCAATCACCCAAACTGTGGTTAAGACAGCTGCAGTGCTTGGACACAAGAGCTCTGATTCAGATTGCCCTTGCCAGCCCATCATTCGCACTTCCGGGAATGGATCCCCTTTGATCATGGACTATTTGCAGTGCTTCCTCTGTCATAATTGTGTCGCAATAATCCGAGAGCGCAAGGTAGAAGAAAAGAAATCGTGAGCGGTTTTGGACAGAAAGACAGAAATGGCGATGGAGTAGAGATATGTGTACTCGCTCCGTAGCTTCCGAAACACCCCCCCCCCCCCCCGGGGGGCTCCAGAGCTTCCTTGATCCTAGATAGAGGTTTCTTTTCTTTTCTTCCTTGTTAAGCCGCAATGGTTGCCCGTTGTGAGCGTTTCTGTTGATGAATTTTCAACAGCGGTTTCGGCGGCGGAGATCCGCATCGCTGAAAGTCAGGGAGTGCGCTTGGTCACCCCAGGTTGAAAAAGATCTACTCCAAATCGTTTCGGAGGCTTTGGAACTTAATGGTATGCTCTGCGAGCCAGACAATGCCTCTTCAAACAGCCAACATTAGGATTAAAATAGAGCTCCTCTGTAACAGCTAGAGAAGGCTCTATAATTGATCCTACTTGCTCCATCATTTCTTTCGCCGTTACAGCCTTGTCTTTATTGTCTTGTCGATTTCTTGAATTCACGCTGTCTGGTGAGAGTACTTTGAAAGTAGGTCATCCAAGGCCCATAGCCGCATAGCTTGATTGGCCCATTCCGCCATTGTATTATCCGGATATGCGTCGCAAATAATCTTAAGGAAATCGTTCGAGGCAGTGTGTACGTGAATGCCGGTATATCATGAGACTCGTGCAGCTGGCCATTTCTTTTTCTTGTTTCCACATTAAGGGAGGAGGACCTGATTGACAGCTTCTTAGTGGGCAATCGAATTGGCGGAAACTTAACCAGCCGCACGGGTTCAAGGTGTCGACATTTCCTGGATGCAACGGGTATTTATCCCTGAGAATTGCGAATTCACCATTGACAATGTGGAGGACACATGAGTATCTGGAAGCGCTTTGAGTTCATAATCGGTCGAAATTTAGAAACGAGCATAGAGAACTGGTCTGGACTAAGTCTGGACTATGTCTGCAAGCAGCAAGGTAGGTTTAGCTACAGGTCTGCACAATCGACAAATAATGTTGTGCTTAACGTGCTAGATCTCTCGAGCCAGGGGGTTACCTTGAGTACCAGGGTTTTTACTATCCGTTCCACTGTACTGCCCAAGAAAACCATCGAACATCATCCGTTGATCTAAGCACTATCAAAGAGCATGCAAGAACTTGAAGAACCTCCAAGCCCCTTTGGACTGGCCGCGAAATCTACGAGATGCAGGACTGGTAGACATTTACGTTGAGCGCAAGAAGTGGCAGGCAGGGGTAGCATGTGCTCAAGACTCGAGAATCAGGAAATCGCAAGAGTATACTGAAGAGCACTTATTGGCAGAAGTGCTGTTATCAAGATTTGCGCTCTCGGAAGGTCTTGGATGGGCATCCGAGGACGTTGAAGAGCTGTGCATTGCAGTTGCAAAAGAGCTCGTGTCGAGGTCAGGACCAACCGTGTACCGAGAAGTTCATGTCTGCTACGGGAGAAAACCCCACACAAATTCGTCATGAGTACATCCTGCTTCCAGCTTATCTTGTCGAACTTTTGTCATTGAGGGCCATATCTGTTCTGCTGATGGTAGGTTGAGCTCCAGAAAAAGCCGGAGGAAGGACGAGGACAGGGACATCGTATAAAAGGTCGAATGTTAGTCGGGATGGATGATGCGATCGACATGTTGAATGGCTAGGAATACATCAACAAAACCTTGCAAGCATCGCATCATGATCCAAAATAGTCTTGCCTCAAACCCTGCTGTCTCCCACACTCTATCTCTCTACTTCATCATCCAGGACTTCATCAACCCTTAGCATAAACATACACAGCCGGAAGTAAGGCAATCATCCACGATGCAATCGTTGCTTGCGAATCAACACGTCTCCACTTTGCAAGTGCCTCTTCGAGTTCCACGGCAATCACTTGGTCAGATTGGATCTGTTCTTTAGACAAGATGACTTTCTCTTGTCCGTTGATTATGCCAGCAACACTTGATCCATCTTCACGGAAGTACACCATCCGGAAAGACTGATCAATGTCAGTTTGCTATATAGATAATGTGACATAGAAGGGGTTAATATACTGTTCTTCCTTTAAAGAGCTCAGGTGGACACATGCTATACTCATGGTCAAGATTCCGAATAAGCATCTTTGTCCATTGAGAGCCTTCTGTAGGAACCCAACAGTTACGCAGATATTTAGCCTTCATTTTCGAGATTGCATCCATTACGATAGATTGGATTTGTCCTTGTCGACAAAGAATTTGTTGAAACAAAAAAGCGAAGAAAGGAAAGGAAGTAAGATTTGTTGAGGTACGCAGGTATGAAGGTAGATTTCGGTGGCGACAATCATTTTAAGTGACTTATATGCGAGTTTACAGCTCACAAAGTTCGCCTCTAGGAGTATTCTGCCATGTGTAAGAGTGCTATTGATTGTCTACAAATGCAAGATTCAATAGATGGTGCATGTCAACCCAGGTCTGCATAGCGTGAGGAACAGGCCTTTGCCGATGATCCCTGGCTCTGCAGGCTTGTGGGACTTGAGCTCTCGATGTTCTTACATGCAGCACGTAAGTAAGGGGAAGATGTGCCTTGGTCAGTATAGTACGCTATGCCAAGCGGAAAGAAGTTGCGCTCTAAAGACGGGCCGTAGCTAGCTAGCTCCAGTGGCTCCAGGAAAGGGGCCCTCAGCCTTGCCTCCAGATTGATCAAACATTGCAGCCATCCTTGCAGACGTCGGCAAGGCGTAAAGAGCGGTGAGACCTCTTCACTGATCTCAGCACAGCAATGACTCACTCAATCAACGCTGTGGTTACTACGTAACCCCTAAGGGGCAGTGTCATAATTAAGTGATCTGGTGACGAGTGCCACTAGGAGCAGCCGTTGCAAGGCTGCCCAAAGATCGGACACACTTTGGCCTGATTTTGGTCTTGCATCAACCCGGGCAACGCAGGTGTACCATTTTCAGTCTGTCAATGTCCGTTCGGAAGATCACGGGAATGATTAATGATGTATAAGTGAGATCGTAAGCTTGTCTAGTTCATTCTATGTTGTCTAGACTGATAGATTGTACTTGTATGATGATTCTGCGGTCCCCTACCCCTGGCTCTCCTCTCTTATGTAAGTGTCACAGATCACGTGTACCTGACTAATCTAGCGCCTTATTTAGCCATCGCTTGAGCGAGATCACTTAAGAAGACACAACCACAATGATCTCCCACACGGCAGATAGTCAATAAAAGCACCACCTCCTATCCTCTCAATTATCTAGTTTTCGATCCATCTATCATCTTCTGTAGCTCGTTGATACGCCGCGCACAGCAGCCCTCAGCACTGCCTAGCAACGCTAGCGCCATAGTGCGACATGTACTTTGCAGATGGTGCGGACGGGGCTGAAACGCCAACGGTGAGAAGGTGAGACGCACACGCGGCCACAGCGCGCCTATGTATTTAAGATAGCTCAGGAGCAATAGTCTCAAGAGCTAGCGGATATTCTTGAATCTAACCATCTATCTCACACTTCTGCCACCAATCCCTTACAACCTGAGCCTTCACTAAGGTCGCGTAGTTAGCTACTGATTGAGCGCCTTTAGCAAGGCGATCAAGTGACTCAATTATAGAGGTTGGTGAGCTATTTTGATGATGCTGAATCCGGCTTCGGATAAGCTCTGTTTGAAGGCCTAATTCAACAGTATTTCTTGGGGTCTTTGATTGCCGTTTGATCTGCTCAATTAGTGGTGGTGTAGGTATTCTAAGATAAATATCCAGCTTTGATAATACAGCATCTGGGTTCAATAGTAGTAAGCCAGTACCCTTGAATCTAGCTCGTATATTATCTGGTCGTAGTGCCTGGATAAAAGCTAGCTTAAAGGCAGGAAGGAATTCGAGCTTTGTCACGTGATGAATGAAATCTCGCACTATCTGCTGAATCTGATTACTATATGCCTGTTTTAATGGACCAAAGCAGCCTACATCAAGTGGCTGAAGTAGATGTGATGAGTGTGGAGGCATATAAAGGGTGATAATCCTTTGCTCTTTATAAAAAAGCTTGAATTCAAGTAATTCATGACTCTCATGCCTATCAAGGATAAGTAGTCTATATGTGCCTTGTGTGCGATCCTTAGTATGCTGATTAAAATGCTTTAGCCATTCTAATCCAAGCATATTAGTAGTCCATCCATTCTCACTAACAGCAATCATCTAATCAGGTGGAAGATCCTCCTCATACCATGCTGAAAGATGGTTGGTACCAGCAAAGATGATGAATGGTGGTAATGCCCAACCTTGAGCATTTACACCTTGAATAACAGTGACCCATTCACGATCTCTAGGCTGTATAGTCTTTGGGCCATGGCGTTGTTCAGATCCAGTAACTACCTTAGCTATTGCAATCACTCCTATTTGAAATCCTGCTTCATCAAAATTGTAGATATTGCTATTGCCGATGCTGTACTTGCTGATTGTATTGCGTACAAGCTCAAACCAAGGGCTGATGATCTGCATAAAGCTCTCTTGTAATCATACTTTTGATGGAAGCATATCTTGAGTTCTGGGGTCCTTTGAACAAAGTTATGTGGCCATTTAATACCAACTTGCCCATCACCACGTGAAGGAAGTAAATGATTAGCCATTGCTGCTACCTCTCGAAGCTTAGGCTGAAATCCACATGAATCTAGATTAAGTACATGCTGTATAAGCACCTCCTCTTTATTCTTGGTAAGCTTCATTGAATTCGGTCGGCAATCATGTTGTGAACGCGTTCCAGCTACATGTTGTTGTAGGGTTGCTTTAGGCACATTGAAGACTTTCGCTGCATAATATATTGATTTAACTTGGCCTCTTTCGATAGCTGATATTGCTAATAATATTTGACCTTTATTAGATAATGGCTGCTTTTGAAATGAGCGCTGCATTGTAGATAAGATGAGACATACGCGTTGTGGTGGTGAGGACGGCCCACTCGATTGTCTGACCCTCTCGCTTATCCTTGGCGGTAAGCCATCGCTTGAGCGAGATCACTTAAAAAGTTACAACAACAATGATCTCTTACATTGCAGATAGTCAATAGAAAGACCACCTCCTATCCTCTTAATTATCTAGTTTTCCATCTATCTATCACCTTCTGTAGCTCGTTGATACGCTGCGCACAGCAGTCCTCAGCACTGCCTAGCATCGTTAGCGCTATAGTGCGACAGAAACGCTGGCTAGATAAGAGAGGATAGCCAGGGGTAGGGGACAGCAGAATCATCATACAATCCATCAGTCAAGAAAGCACACAATGAACTAAGCAAGCTTACGATCTCACTTATGCATCATTCATCATCCCCGTGATCCTCCGCACGGAAATCGACAATTGTAGTATCGCTGACTAAGAGATGAAAAGAACGAAATACCGGTATCTGAGAAGCCAAATTAACGCACATAGCTGAGTACCTTTAATCCGAGATTATCCATTCTGCTATCCTTGTGTAATTAGGGATTTTTGTGCAGGCTGGGAAATTTTCTGTCCGACCACGGTCATTGTCCGATGACGGCCGGAGAGATGTTAGTCATTCTGTGCAGCAGTTGTCAAGGACGGCAGGAACAGTCAAGCTAATCATGATTTGAAAATGAAAGCGTAGCGCTATTCTTAGTCGTCCAAGCTGGCATCCTTGGAACATTTTTTGATGAACACAGTTGATAGACAATTCTACTTTTAAGGGAACGTATACTGGCCTACAGTTTCTCAGACTCTTTGTCCTTAGGTCAGCCCTACCCTTACTGGATGATTTACGTCTGTCAACTCATAACTGCTGGAAACGGGGGAAGATCTTTGTCCAGTAGTATCAGCTGGGATTGATCATCCATCAATTTGTATTCTACTCATCATATCAGCTTGACTCAATGCTCGGCATCATTCTGTCTTCCCTGATCTACCTGGCAGTTCATCTAACTTCTTAAGGGCACGAGTGAGAAAGCTGTTGCAATAATCTGGTGGCTTGAGGGATCTTCTAAGGCCCAGAAGTCTAAAGGTTCATCTGGTTGAACCAGTTATTCACTTTAGTGCGAACCAAGATCCTTATTATATAATTCGAGACCATGAATTAGCCGGATCGTGCCTAAGGCACCATAGTAAACTCTGGCTGGCGTAGATCTATATAGAGTTGGAAGAATGTGCTTGGCCAGCATACCCATTCACACTCTCTTTTAACCATGCTCCCATGGCATGTCGTCTCAGTTTTGTTGTCTTTAACTTCTCTCTCTAAACCAGTTGCTTGCGATCCACAAGTCTATAGCGTCAATGTTGGCATCAATGGCTCTGGATTCGACCCAAACACTACCTACGCTGACCCAGGAGATATCATCTCCTTTCAACTTTACTCAAACAACACTGTTAACCGAGCAGAATACGTTAAGGCATCCATTTGTGATGAATGGTGCAATCCATGCATCCCCTGGGAACTTTTCCACCCCGGCGAAGCAGGTTTTCATTCCGGACATGTGCACACGTTTAATATCACCATCAACGATACCGCTCCTATATTTTTATACAGTGATGCACCTTCGGCATGTGCAAACAGGGCAAGAGTCGGGGTGATCAACCCAGTAAGGAAGAAACTACAAACCAACCCTAGCCTTTAGCTGACGGGAGAAGAACGCAACGTTCATACTGAAAAACCAAGTGGGTGCAGCGCAGGCAGCACCTTATCAATTATCGGCGGGTCAAATGCTTCCCACAGATGGCGGCAGACCCTCAAACTTATCAACATCCTCGTCATCTGCGTTAAATCCTACTGCCACCACCGCCAGCAGCCGCAATTCTGGCCATAATAACGACGCGGGGAAGATTGTGGGTATCTCAGTGGGCGTACTTACGGGTATTGCAATACTATTTACGAGTCTGCTATGGTACCGCAAACGTCGAAAAGAGCCGCGCCCAGAAAAGCAAATGCAGGAGCAAGCTCCAACTCTCAGTTACTCCTACTACTCTCCGACATCTGATGTAACGTCGCCTGTTGTATACTATAAAATACGGGGCGAAGTATCCGGCGAAGTATCCGGCAAAGCGCCCAGCGAGCTCCGCGGCGATGACGTTAACGAGCTGCCAGGAGACAGTCTGGCGGAACTTCCGGATCAAGGAACGACCGTGATGAGTAGAAAACAATAGTAAGGTATGATGGGTCAGGTGTACAATCATACACATATAACAGAGTCAAGAATGGAGAGTTTAGACATTTCAATCCTTCTAACCTACGAAAATTTTGAAATAGAAGCTGAAACATGACTGATTCGACTGGGCTTGGTTGTGGAGAGTTGAAATCATTGAATACCTTTTTATCACATATGCGTGTGGACTTGATTAACACCAACGGCATTCCAGAAAATTGCCTTATTCCATTAGCCTGGCTGAAGGTCTTTGGATGAGCTTTTGTGGCTTGTATATTACGCCTTCCGGCAGGTTACGGGGACTTTACAATCGGATTTGATCATGAAGTTAACAGGATTTAGGCATTAAAATGTCTGTGGATTGGCCGCTGTTTATTTCAATCAAAACCTGAGGTCTTACTATGGGTACTGCGAGGCAAACTTCATCAATGAGCTTGACAGAACTTCCGCTAGAGCCTCAGTACCTTGTTCTCACCCGATACCCATCCAGATCTTGGAAAAAGAAACCCAAAGCACTTTCAACATTTGCCCTCAAGCGGCTCAATCCGTTCGTCGACTTCGTATTCGAGGCTATTTCACACAGAAAGCCTGCTTGGCTATCATTGCAATCTCCAAAACGCGCACAAAGGCAATCCTCATCAGTCTAACTTGGTACATCATTCAATATTCAAATAAATGGGAATTGGAATCGTCTCTCGGTTCAATACGTGCCCACCTTATGGAACTCTTTACCGAAATTGCCGGTTAGCAGGACGCGGGACTTATACCTCGTCCACCGTACAGCTGAGGCAAATTAGATTTCAGCATGCTTCGAGCACTCAAAATCCGAAGTAGCGCTGCCATTGCTCCTCTCCACGACTGAGACCTGAGCATGATAGCTAAGTCGGCGAGGCTAGAGAAATTATACGTTGTTGGGCTACCTAAAATATCCATAAACGGTGGCGACTTCTCGTCAGCGTCGAAAGCGGCACATACAAAAGGTATATCAGCCGTCGTTCGCGCTTCCGCAAAAGTACTCGGTGCTTTGGATGTTGGTCTTGTACCATAAGCGTCAGCACAGCGTGCTCGGTCTGAAAATGATGATATAATTACGAATTTGCAATAATTTACAACATTTTATTAAACTTGAGGCGTTATCAATATGTACTTACATTGTTTGCGATCGTTTTCTTTCTTTACAGAGTGGAAAAGGGGAGTTAGACGGCGCGTCTGCACGCGGAAAGAGTGCGGTCATCACAATGATACTGAAGAGACGCATGCTGGTATCTTTCTTGGAAGATTATAGTGATCTTGTATACAGTAAGTCATGCATTATTTGATGCCAAGTTTGTTGGCTTAAGTTTGCTTATCTGCATTTGAACTAAATTAAGAATGGATTGATTCATAACATCTTTCCGTGTCAAGCGAGCGTGAAACAGATCGCAATATTGGATTAGCGCCTAGTTCTGTCCCTTCTTTCGAGAGTCCAGTCGCCACAAAAATCATCTTAACAGTGAGTTCAGGAAGTGTGATAGCTGTGTATTGTACCAAACACTTTCGCAATGTCAGTCGCCCAGCTCGCTGACAGCTAGGTTATGCAGCTGGTTTCAAAGGGATTATTTCAACGATAGGGACAGTTATAGCATCAATTGACGACTCGGACAGTGAAAATACGCCTCTATTCTATAAGAAAAATAAAGGAATCACTTAACGGAGCTGAGACAGAGAGGACTGAAGAGCGTCAATTGCCAAGGTTATAAAACCAAATTTAGTGCAATATACAGTTATCAAATAGCCAAATTATGCAGATATTACCGGAAAAAGTTATGAGAGCCCAATGTAAGAACTTTAATCATATGCTGTTTCCTATATTGAGGTCAGCATGTGGATCGCACAAGGTTTATTATTAGTAGTATGACTAAAATAAAGCGCAACATGCAATGCAATCGACTATTAATACTTAGAGGATAGCCATATTCTATTTATATGGCTAGGAACTGGGTTGTTTTCGATGACGAAGCTTCAGTATTAATAGTGACAGATTTTACATCGATTGTATAATTGGTTTATAACTCATACTGATTTACGCCATTATCAACTATTGTCGCATATAAGTGCTTATAGACATAATACCATAGCAATGGATAAGGATCGAAAGTTAATTAAAAACTTAGTAAAGGCAATCGAACAAGTCGAGCCTCTCTACGCGGATGGTGCGCGTAGTAAAGAATCTGCGAACTCATTAAAATTGAAAACTCTATTACCAGAATGTAAGGTCTGTCTAAACGCAGATATTGCGTTTCGAAAGGCCGAAGAGATTTATGACGACGATGGGACTGGAAGCAACGCAAGCGAGGGCAGTGATGCTTGTGACTCCAGTAGTTCCACCGAATCCGATTTTTCTAGTAACGCTAGCACGACCAGCGGGTCTAGCTACACCAGTTACTCTGGTTCCTCCGGTTTACTCAGTGTGAGTGATGAGGATGACGAAGAAGAATATGATGATGATGATAATGACGATGATGATGATGATGATAATGATGATGGGAAAGAGAGTAGAAAAGCCAGTGAAGTAAGGGAAGGAGACGAAGAGGATGACGATGAAGATGACAATGACGATGACGAAGAGAACAATGAAGATAAAGAAGTAAAACAAGGCCATGGTAGAGAGCAGCGCCTAGCTGGGGCAGATGAAGAGAAAGACAAAAGCGAAAGCGCTGAGGTAACCAAGACCGAGGGAAACATCCACCAGACTCAAAGCACGATTGATAATTTGACACTTACTAATGATTCAGAAAGGTCTTAAGGCGAGACTTGTAAATTATTGCGACTAACTTAGGGAATAATACAATGGCGCTACTGGAAACGTATTATTGACATGTTTTTTTCTTTGGCAACTTATGCTCTAACACAACGAGCCACCCAGTGTGGCGAGCCACATCCCCAGGTACTTCATCTCGGAAGCAGTCGCAAAGTCGGATTTGCATTTCTACCGTCTTTTCCTCTATCAAATCATTTAGGTTGGCAACATTGGACCATCGCCCGCCTCCAAATTTAAATTTTACACTTAACATCTTTCTGACCGTCACCGGACACCGAACGTGATCGGACACGAATTTTCCTATCCCATATAATAAACTCCACACAAGGATGGCAGTATAGATAATCTCGGATCATAGATGTTAAACTATACGCTTCAACTCAGCTTCTCAAATTTTCCATTTTTCTCACTTTGTGGTCTGCGACTCTGTAGTACGCCATATTCTGCCAGCACGCCACTGATTCGGACAATCTCAAGCATGGCAGCTATATAAAGGATTATTACTAAACTAGATTTTAATATAGGTATATATTTATAGAACTTAATCCAAGCATGGAAAACAGTTATAAATATTATTGCTCTGGTGCATAGCGACTTACTACTTTATTTTACACACACAAAATGAGTTTAACTTTAAGGACCGGCGTACTGCTACTAAGTAGATCGGCTGAGTAATCAATGACCAAGCCAGACCTGTAGCTGACAGGGTAGTCTTAGGTCTTGCGCCAGGCATCAGGGCAATCAGGCAGCCAGACTCTTTATCACGTACAAGCAGTTTTCGTGCCCAAAACAAACAAGAAAAGTGCGGTTTGGCCCAGATTATCACAACACACTGCAGCAAGGCATGATTATTAGTGATAACTAGCGAAGCTTTACATTTATATCTAGATCTATGTTATTCTCATTATATCAACTATCAAAAGCTAATAACACGTGTAGAATAAAGCTATGAAGCTCACAAAAGCATACATTTAACACCCTATCATACTCCTAAATATTCCACTACTCTGCGACTTTATGTCATTCATACAACTGGAGCAACCTATATCTCGCTGAGAAAGGTCACTAGAATCATCAACTCTAGCGCTATGCTCTTCTAAGCAGCTTTAGCAGGTGAATCAGGCTGTTAGGAACACTTTCCTAATACCGACTAGCTTCACTAATGTAAGCCAATTCGGAAGGGGTTGGCTTCCTAGAGCAAAAGGGAATAATATGGAACTAGGACTTATTCAGAAAGGAGGAGGAATAAGTTAGTCCCAGTTTTATGACTTAGAGTAGTATGAGCTTCAAGTATGAGAGAATGTTCAAACTAACTACTAGATATACTAGACAGTTAAACTACAATCTGTGCAATGGGGGAGAGAGACCACTTTTTGATAGACATAGGAAGATACTGCTCATGACGCTAATTCGTTTAGCTATTGAAGCCATCGGACTTATGGAACATGCCCTCAGGGCAGAGGGTGAACAGAGAGGCGTAACAGATAATGCGGAGTATTGAGGGGATTGAGGTACGCAGGATGCAACACAGAGGCCTCAAGCCTCCAGGAGCCAAATACTAGAGCAAGTAATAGTAGATTAGCCAGCATGATACAGGCGGCGACAACCGGCTGTAGATAGTGGTGATGGAAAACAGATGAGGAGCGTAAGGGTTGGCTGGTCTTGTTTCCACAACAAGGTGAAGTGGGGCGTGTTGGGCCTAGCCCGATGCGTGTCGGCCGATTACCAAGCGTCACGTGGTCCAAATCCACTGTCGCACTGTGGCACTAGCGATGCTAGGCAGTGCTGAGGACTGCTGTGCGCGGCGTATTAACGAGCTACAGAAGATGATAGATGGATGGAAAACTAGATAATTGAGAGGATAGGAGGTGGTCCTTTTATTGACTATCTGCAATGTGAGAGATCATTGTGGGTTGTGGTTTTTGGTTGTGGTTGTATCTTCTTAAGTGATCTCGCTCAAGCGATGGCTAAATAAGGCGCTAGATTAGTCAGGTGAACGTGACCTGTGACATCCACCAACTTCTCAACAAGTGCTGGTAGACTGAGGCCACAGAAAAAAAAAAAAGACCACAACAGCGAGAACGTGAACTCTTGGTATCTAGTAGTGCTAACTGAGCATACACACTCCTCTACCTAGTAGTTAGACGAATTGACAGGCCTGACGCGGCGCCCAACGCGTGAAAAAAAGGTATGTCGATTCCCTGGCCCAGGGGGGAGTCCTGGTCAAACAGACTGCCAGAGCACGCTACCCAACTAGCGAAGCACCTTCAAGCGGCAGCACAATTCGTACACAGCACGTCCAGCCGCACTGTTGAACTAGACTTGGTAAAATCGATAATCTTCACAGCCCTTAACTTTGTGATGAAGGTATAACAGGCCCCGGATCTCGTCCATATCCATAATGCAGTCTATACTATCTAAATACAGCTCTAAATAGGGACAGAAGACTTAGCGAGAGAACTAGCGGTGATAAAAGAGGAAATACGCGGCCTTACTACAGAAGCCCAAAAGACAGCAATCATCAGCGAAGAGGCAAAAGCAGCGGTCCTCGAGGCAGCGGCGATTAGCAGGACCACGGCGGAAATCGCGAAGGACATTAAGAACAAAGGAATATGACCCCAGGAAGGGACACCTATGAACTACGCTGCGGCGGCAGCCAGAGGCGCTCACAGTGTATAGACGCATAAGTAAAGGATGCCTCCCACCGCGCCGACCCAGCAGGAGATCATAGTGAATATTAGGGACAGCCACATGATCGAACGACTACGAGCAATGAACCTGCGGACTCTTAAAACGCATGTCAACTATGCGATTACCTAAAGCGAGAATGAACACATTATAGGTATCACTATAATGTCAGCCAACCAATTGAAGAGCGGAGACCTCAGTATCCAAACAACAACAGGCAAGGAGATCTAACTCCTGTGGCAATTCACAGACGACTGGGTAGCACGAGTTGGCAGCGGGTCCTCAGTCAGGAACCCGACCTATAGCATCTTAGTATACAGTATATGGGTTATTACAGTCAACATGGACAAGCAGGAGGACATAAGAAATGCCATCCTACAAGATAATAAACCGTTTATCCTAAATACAGAGATCAAATATATCGGATGGCTTACCCGGCGGGCACCAAGCAAAGCAATATCGTCAATTATTATAGAGTTCATAAGGCTAGAGGATGCTAATAAGATTATCGATGAAGGCCTAGTATGGCAAGGAGAGATGTGCCAGAGCGAGCGCTATGAACAGCAGTGCCGCCTGAAGCAGTGTTTCAAGTGTTAGGCATATGGCCACATAGGAACCCAATGCAAAGCAGTAAAGACATGTGGCTACTGCGCGCTAGAACATGACTCAAGGGACTGCCCATCAAAAGGAGACCGGAACGCCTCCAGGAAATGTGCAGCATGCCGCGGTACACACGAGGCATAGAACCGCCTGTGCCCAACCAGGAAAAACGAGCTGGCTAAGGTAAGGGTAGCCTACACCAATAGGCCGCGATACCATGCGGTTGCGCCAACAACAGGAAGTGACTCACCAGCTACTGCCGCGGGCCCCACACTGCGGAGAACAAGGTCAACATAGGACACAAAAATGACCCAAGCCTCCGCGAGAGGCCAGAAGAGGGCAGCGCCGGAGGGGAAAGAAAACGAGGAGTCGAATCAGCGACCTCAGAGGCCACTAAAGCCTAGCAGGAAAGCGCTGGAAATGATAGACTTAAACATTATAATACGCCATAGCACCTAAAACATGGACCTCGATAGCGACAGTGACCAACAATAAAACAAAACTAACTGAAGATACTGCAGTACAATATCTGTAAATCAAAGAACCAGGTCATAGCAACGCTACTCCGAGACCCAAGCATAGCGACCTATGATATAATAGCTATCCAAGAACCCTAGCACAATCTATTTGAGGACACGATACACCACCCAGCAAAGAACACCTTCCACCTGTGCTATCCAGCAGACAGCACTAAGGAATACCCGGCGCGGGTATGCTTCTTCATCAACAAGCGCCTAGACCATGCCCGCTGGCAAATCGAACAATGCATACAAGACCTATGCACACTACAGATCCTTATAGGTGAAGAGGCGGCAGAAAACGAACTGATATTGCGTAATATATACAACCCAGGCTAAGGCGAAGACCAGGCAGCCACCCTCCCAGTATTACAAGCCCAGCTAGAGAAACACGCTACAAAAGAGCAGATAGCGCTCAGTAACTTCAACCTACACCACTAAATATAGGGAGGCCCAGGAGTTATAAGAGAAGAGCTAGAGTTAAAGGAACTCATCGAGATTATGGATGACCTCAATATGATAAATATGCTGGAACCAGGCACAATCACATTTAATAATGGCCTTAGCCAGACGACCATAGACCTCTGTTAGATGACGCTAGGTCTGGTCAACCGGATAGTCCGCTGTAGGATAGATAAGGATATTAACCACAACTCTGACCACCTACCAATCAGCACCACGCTAGATATAAGGATCTGGATGATAGAACCCAAACCCAAACACCAGTAGAAACACCTGGATGAGGAAAAGTTCTGCGAGGCTTTAAAGGAGGTCCTCACACCCAAGCGCAGGCCAGACACAAAGAAAGCGCTAGATGAGTATATCCAGTATATTGTCACCGCAATCCACACAGTAACAGAAAGGATCCTACCTCTAAGGAGACCTAGCCCTAAGATAAAGGAGGGGTGGGACGACACATGCTGAGAAACACTTGCAGAAATGAAGCGCCTCTGCAGAAGGTACTCCCAGCGGCCGACAGCTGAAGCGTGGAAGGACTATCAAGAAGGTAGGAAACTCAAGGGCAAGACCATCGCAAGAGCACTCCAAAAAGCATACAGAGACCAGGTGACAAAAGCAGCGAGCTCGGCCGAGTCACTATGGAAGGTCGCAAAATAGGCACGCAACAGGGGTAACCAAGCCCTAAGCATCATACCCACAATACAGAGGCCCAATACCCTA